ACACATAACTGCGACATATCCAGTATATATTTCCCTTCTGATTACTGGCAATTGTAAAACATGACAGCAACACGCTGTGTCAGGACGGACAAGGAAGAAACTACAGTACATGGTCGCAGCGTATTTGTCAAATCAAATAAAAGCCTGTGACCTACGTAGCTAAAACAGACAAATAATTTGGTCCAACAATTTGTAATTGAACCACAAAAGCCCTACAACAACACACAATAAAGGTCAAGGTACAACAAACAATCGATGAATCGCCAAATAATCGATTTTTGATCATTTTATAAAACATTTGGATCTTTTATTTAAAATTGTTCCAATGCGAGGAATTTCCACTTCTCAAGAGTAAATATTACCCTATTTGTAGTCCTTTATGAGAGCAGACTGATTATCTTTGTGAAGAATCCAAATACAACTACCGTATTTTCCTCACGAAGACGCACTGGATTATGAGGCGCACCTTCAATGAATGGCTATTTTGCAATTTTTTTTCATATATTAGACGCTTTGCATTAAAAGGCGCAATCTACAATGTGTCCACTAGATGGTGCTACACTCCTTCCATTCAACTCGAGAGGCGTCCGTTCAACTTGAGAGCCGTTCATGCCCGCCTCTGAAAAATGTAAATTAACTATTACTGTACTTAAATGAAACTACGAAAATTGAAAATAATGCATCAAAACAGAAAATCAAGCGAGGAAATCACCAAATAAATTCTATATCCCCCCTACAGAATTTATTTTGCGATTTCCTCGCTTGATTTTCTTCGTAGTTTCATTGAAGTAATCATTCATTTACGTTTTTCGTAGGAGGCCATGAACGCCTCTCGAGTGGAATGGAAGAAAGCACGGAGACGGACAAAGACGTACAGTCCCTGTACTTGCTGAGACTTTGAAAACCATTAATAAAGTCTGCGTTTAAAAAAATAATAAAACCACAACCACAGCTTTCATTTTTTCAACAAACTCAGGTGTGTCTTTGTCCGTCTCCTTCCCTTCTTTTCTTCCGGTCAACTCGAGAGGCGTTCATGACCGCCTCCGAAAAACGCATTGGCATTTCCTTTATCGTAGCTCCAACAGTACGATAAGATAAGAAAACCTTTAATAGTCTCACAATGGAGAAATTCCCACTTCACAGCAGCAAAGTTATGGGAGGAAGAAGTAGAAAAACAAAATAAATAGGAGCTGCTGGAAAGGCAGCTACTCTCGCGGCGCCATCTTGAAGTCAAAATAACACAACAAGATGTCAGTCACAGTTATTTATTCCTCTGTTGTGTATTCACAAATGATGAAATCACAATATAAATTCTGTAGGGGGGGGCTATAGAATTTATTTTGTGATCCTCGCTTGCTTTTCAGTTTTGACGTATTATTTTCAATTTTTGTAGTTTCATTGAAGTAATCATTAGTTGGGGTTTTTCGGAGGCGGTCTTGAACGCCTCTCGAGTCGAACGGAAGAAGGCACGGAGACAGACAAAGACGTACCTGTATTTGTTGAGACTGTTTTAGAAAAATTAACACCACAGCTCTCCTTTTTTCGGAGCTGCAACACATACTTATTTAATAAAGCAGCGACACAATTCACTGAACCAACAGCAAGTTATAACATTGGAAGCATGTCTCCAGGAAGGAGCCATCTTGGAGTCGACGTATTACAGTAATGACCACACAAAAGACGTACCGGATTTTAAGGCGCTCGGTGAGCTTTTAAGAAAATGGAAGACTTTTTGGTGCGCCCTATAGTGTGGAAAATACGGTGTTTCTTTTATTTTACAAAACAATGACCAGCATTTTTACCTATTTTCTTTCATGTCATGGCCCAAACCAGAAACTGAATTATTTTTCATTTATGCACCCATTCACACACACAATCATACACCAATGGGAGGCTGCAAGGCACTGCTAGGTCCACTGGGAGCAAATTACGGTTCAGTATCTTGTGCAAGGACACGTCAACATGGTAACGAGCTGCAGAATGTTTGTTTTCATGTACAAGAAGAAGGAGAAAAACACCTTGAGCAGCGCAAAGGACTCAAAGACCCTCCTGGACTCAAAGACCCTCCTGAACGACGGCGGGAAGAGGCGGGCGCAAGTGACAGCCATCTTGAAAAAGAGGCGTCAAAGGTTGGTGGGGGGGGGGGGATCTGGGTGACGTTGGGGTAACGGGTCCTATATGAGTGTACTCCATTTGCCGTTTGCCATTTGTCAATTTGAAATAATGTCCTGTTTTTAAAGAAGCAGATGGAAATGTAAAGATGTCTTTGAAATGCAATTCATCAATTAATCAACAAAATGATAGATTGAACGATTATTGAAATAATAATTAGTTGCATCTCTGCAAAAATCATCTCTCACTTGACAGTTCAGTAAGAAATCATTGACAATGTGCTTGCATTTTGCTTTTGGATTTTTTCCATATCAATTTATTTTTAGAGTTCTTCGGTGTCTTCGGCTGGATTTACACTGTGGGTCCATGTGCCTGATGCATATTAAACACATATCGTACCAGATTGATTTATTTACTTAAAGTATTGAGTATTTTTCATTTACAATTGAACAAAGTGACACAGATCCTGGGCTATGACAAGAAGGTAATAAATTCATTCATTTTCGGTTAAAGAGATATTAATAAACCTTGAGTGTAGATTAATTGGCATGTGCTGACCCGTTTCGCCGTTGATTTAAATGAAGGCGAACTCCCACATGACTGCACTTGTTGCAGTCTGCAATTATTTTGCAAAACCTGATTTAAAATGCTGTCTTTACAGTTAATAAACGTTTACAGTTGGACTCTGGAGCAAATTATTTATTTATATTAAGAAAAATTGGACGGTAAGGCAAAATGACTGATCGCTGTTCCGCATAGACGAACGACATTGATGACACTGGGGGGGGGGGTGAAATCGACACATCAATTTTCCATCAGCTAATAAATGTGGGATACTACATTATGTCTGTTATTTCACTGTGTATTGTATAAAAGACTCTGTTGCAGCTATTTTGAAGTATTTCTGTGGAGGGGATAGATTACAATTGTTTAATCTGCGCACGCCAGAGCTCTCTTACATATCCATCATCTAAAGGGCCTCATATCACGGAGCAATCTCCAAGCACTTTTTGCACCAACAAAAACATCAAGGGAACTTTTTATAAAAATAAGCATTCAACTGAAACAACCGCCTTCACCAGGAAAAAGCACACCAGGTGGGTAGTTTAACCTGAGCCAGGAGGGAGAGATTTTAGAGAGCTTTCGGACTTGTGGCCAGCCAGGCCCACTGATATTGGAGGAGCTGCAACGTGAGCTGAAGCGTGAAATAAAAGTAAATGGTCAACCGATATAAGAGGACGTGTATCTTCTTGTCTGTGAGGTGAGCGGGGTACAGCAAATGTATTAAAGCAAGTGGACAACAAACAAACACACACACACGCGCGCACGTGCGTGCGCACACACATACACACACGCACACAAAAGGGCCATGACACAGTCATGCTGCACTCCAGCATTTTTCATTTCCAAGTGCAGAGAGTGCTCCAGTGGAACCCCCACCCCTCACCAAACAATCAGAATCCTGCTGTACAAACATAAACCACAACAAACTGTTTACACTTTATGCAAGCAAGCAATTTCAAGTGCACCTCTGCCAGCATTAGACTTTCTTTAAATAAATACACTTTTTTAAGGCTGGAAGGGAAGTGCATCGAATTGCTTTCCAGTGAGGAAAGAGGCATAGTGAGTGATTTATCAGCACCTCATCACAACACATCTGGACAGGCTAGAAAAGTACACAAAATTAAAAGTTGTTGGAATACGGACGCCACCAAAGCAATTGCAAATAAATGCAGCATGATGGCACCCTAGTAGCACCCCTTACCAATTCATCTACTTCATTTTTTATTGGAGTATTTTTTTTTAAGGACAGAAAAACAAAGCCACTAGCTTTAAGCATCTTTTTTACAATCAGGATTAAACTCTCCATACTTTTAACTTTAATGGGCAATGTTTTTTTAGATTTGTTTTTAGGTGCGGAGTTGATGAATTCGACACTAAGGGAAAAGAGAGTGGTGACAATCTATTCTGTTGGCTTGAGTCAGACGTTCTGCAGTTACGTCAATTAAAATTATGCCAAGAAAGAAAGAAGGGAATGTTATTTAGCGGGGCACTGCAAACACACTCATCCATGCAGCAAGAACTTCAATTGTGGACCAATAGTGGCCATCAAGAACTCCAGATTATAAACCTGATAACGACGGGGGTCCACTGAATGCACTTGTGAGTTTAAGAACAAAACAATCAAACAAACAAAAAAAGCCAAAGCGCAGGACACAGAAATAGCTATGGCCAAGGACAACTGCTAATGCCTGGAAGAGATGCTTTAGGCCTCAAGCACAACATTAGAACACACGGTCTGTTAAGAAGATGGAACCAGAGCATACCCCCATTGGGGAATGACAGTGACGTCAGATGGAAGCCCAAAAAACAGATGCGACGCAGCACAAGAAGAACGGTGGAACCTCCAATGTCTAAGTGCTCTTTCTTCTGCCTTTGGTACTTAAAACACTCCCTCTAGAGTTAATAAGGTGTCATTGGTGACAACACGTTATCCCCTATGGTGGTTTGAAATGAGGGCAACTTGGAAGAAACCGGCGTTCAATTATGTAAGTTCCACTGTTAGAGTGTCCTCTGAAATCAAACCCGTTGCGATGAGAAATGCACACAGAGCACTCGGTGTTCAATTCCAATTAAAGGCTTTGTCAGCAATACTGAATCAAATCAAAAAGGATCCCAGAGGTAATTGCTTTTCCGACCTCTGTTATTTATCTCAGTGTTTCATTTGTGAACACAAGAAACGTATGAGGCTTCCCGCTTTGTGTAATTGGAGCCTCAAAAAATAAGAATAAAAAAAGAATCAAATCAAAGTAAGAATGTGACACGGGATGATTTGCTTGCTTGCCCCTTCCGCGCGGCATCCAAACATTGGTAGCGGAGTCTTGTACCTGGGGTTTCCTCGCAGAGCGGCATGGTGCAAGGCGTTGAAGCCGTTGTTGTTGGTGATGGTGACGTCGGCGCCCGCCTCCAGCAGCACAGAAAGCATGTCGTCCCGCTTCTTGCTGATGGCGTCGTGCAAGGGTGTGTCGCCCTCAGAGTCCTGGATGAGAAAGGTTACGTTATAGGGGACATAGCTTACAATACAAACAGGTCTCTGGAGTAACAGGCCAAGTTCTGCGAGGCTGAGACAATGGGGTGTAGAATGTACAACAAGCCACTGCCCATGTGCGTTTTCGGTTCTGCCTGTAATGCCAAATATGTCGCCATAAGATGGCGCCAAAGCCTGGGCTCAATGTGAAAGCAGTTATTGGTGTCAGAGAAGAATGTTGAAGTGATACATGTACTGAAAGTAAGATTTTTGTATGTTAGCTAAGTTTTGCCTGGGCTGTGACAGAAAACTAAGCTTAGTCTTTGCCAGATGAGGACTTTTTTTGCTCCACTAATGTGGAATCAGTCTGATCACTCATCTGTAAGCATTTTATTTTAAGGGTAATATTTTAAGATGAATTTGAAGTCATATTAAAGTTTTGGAATCATTTTGGTATATTTAAGGTTTAAAACGATGGAGGCAATTACACACATTTGTGGGACGTCAACAACTCAAGGGTTTCTACTATTCGTGGCAGGGCTCCATCCCTCTCCCCGGTAAATTGTGGGTGTTTATTGGGTCACAACACCTGGGAATTTTTAAATAGCAAAACTGTTCCTAACATGTGCCCTTTAAGATGAAGATGTAATGAGAATTATGAAAGCTATTAAACGGTGCTGACGGATACCTGGAGGCTGGGGTGGCAACCAAATTCCAGCAACGTTTTGACCACCTGCAGGTGTCCCTTGTTGACAGCTATGTGCAATGGTGTCTGCCTGCGCTTGTTCCTGGCGTTTAAATCGGCCCCGCCCCGCTGCAACACCTCAATGACTGAGCCCTCATCACCGAAGGCTGCATGGTGCACCGCCCGATCCCCATCTTTGTCCTGAGTGCAATAAAACACCAGCAGTAAGTTGCCGTGTAGCTTGAGGAGAGCAAGAAAACAAATCCTTAGTGATCCCAACCTCTGCCTCGAGATCAACGTTGTGTTTCAGCAGAAGCTTGAGAACGTCCACGTGACCGTTCTGACTGGCTGCCTGCATCGCAGTGTGTCCGGCACACTGTCCGTTCACCTGAAACAAACAAAGACATCAGCAAGGCTGCAATGAGCCCTCAAGCAATTTAAGTACTTCACTGTTAACTGAGCAGTCAGTAGCTGAAGAAGATACTATCTGCTAGAACAAGGAAGTATGTTTCACTCTTGGAAGCCTCAGTGGTTAACCAAGAATCCTCTGTATCAGTTATTAAACTTCACACCGGTCTCCAGAATTCCCTTAGACAAGTATCATTCCACCCACCAAATAAGGGCGTGCATGACTTTAACTCTTATTCCATGTTAGCGACATTTATACAGAATAACATGCAAAAATGCCATGTTTTACAACCTGGCTAGAGTTTGCACTTGTAGCCATGCTTCATGAGCACACAGCTAAAAACTGAACGAGTGTAAATAAATATTCATGTGGACTCATTGTAGAGTCTGGAGGCACCCCTTGCTTGCCCTGGCAGGCAGATCACGGTCATGCTTTGTGTGCTCAGCTTTGAACAAATAATTCCAATTAAAGGCAGTAGGGCAAAGGACCAGCTTTTAACACACACACACACACACACACACACACACACACACACACACACACACACACACACACACACACACACACACACACACACACACACACACACACACACACACACACACACACACACACACACACACACACACACACACACACACACACACACACACACACACACACACACACACACACACACACACACACAGTTATGTCTCTCTGAGTTAAGTCAACAGTGAAAACAAAATGTAACCAGCAAAAGTCGTAGGCTGCTTCTGTGAGTCAAACAGGAGGTTCCTTTGGCTTGCGGGCTGAGTCGGGCTTCGCACACACGCACGCATGCGTCTACCAATCTGGCTTGTGCTGCAGTGCACACCAGTGCGCTTCATGTTTCTCAGATTGAGAAGGACACAGAAGTGGAAGGATCTCAGCCATTTTCTTGGAGACGTTCGACGCCAATACACTGCGATAACAGCGTGACGTAGTCAGGATAGTTTGGGAGACAATCACAAGCAGCTTTTCGAACAGCGTCGGAGCATTTCAGCGCCTTTGACTTTTACACAACACCAACAAAGCAGGATATTGGAACAATGGTGTGTGCTTTCACACAGGGACACAGAATCATCACATAATCAAATAATTAGATGGTTATTTAATAATGGTACTAACATCCATCCATCCGTCCGTCCTTCCATTCACCTTTGAGTTGAATTCATCCCCAAGTTGTCAGTGCCACTTACACAGACCAGTTCAAGTTGGGAAATTATTATCTTTTAAGACTGTGAAAAGGGGCCTGTCTGTCTGATTCTGCGATGCTGTGCCACTGTGTGCATTTTCTGACAGTAGCAATAACATCCCTCTTTGCTTGGTTTTGTCCAACCGAAAAATGTTGGCTTTTATAAGCAGTGTAAAGGGGGCTGTGGTTAACAGTTGGATGCTGTACAAAGGTGCTTTGCTTTATCCAGAGCAAAGGGCAATGATGAATAAATAACCAAACAAAAAACTAAAATAACAACTTACCAGAAATAAAAAGATCATTCAATTCAAGATTTTTTTTTTTTGTTGTGGCTCTTTACTTTAGAAGACCCAACAGAGTGGGAGTAGTGTGCATCAGGTTTCAAAACATGCCACCTCTGATACTACAACCGGATGCGAAAAACAGGTCTAAAGTTCAAAGCGTAGCAGTAATTCCAGCTAATACACAGACATGAGCGGGACTCATTTTCCATATGAGAAGAAAGAGAAGGAAGAAATCATGAAGTCACTGGCATTTAACATTTCATCCTGGTTATAAGACAACTTCAGGAGGTGAAATATTGCTGACATGCATTAGATAGAGTAGTCTGGAGTTAACATTCTATCCGTGGTGTCCTCAATGTGAAAAGTGAAAATAAAGAAAACAGCCTCCAAAGTCCAGCTGGGTCCTTGTCTTATTCATTCTCTGCACCTCCGAGTGAAAAAAAAAGTTCAGCCTCAAATTCAGATACCATAAACTTTTGACCTTCAGCAGCCAGCTGTGCCTCCCCCAACGCACTGCCGACCTCAGTCCAAAGGCTAACGATCGGGATGACTGATATTTTTTAAACACTAAAAGAATAGTATTTTTCCACAATGAAATTGTTATTTCAAGAAGACATGATATCTAAGCCTGAGGCTGCAAGTTAAACCTTGACACATTAAAATGCACAAGCCAGTTGTAGCAAAATGAAATGCCTCGTGGTTATTATTGAGAAATATAATGAGCATTGGGTGGGGGGGCTCCCAAAGTGCAAGCATTCAGTTTCTGCAGAAGCCCTTTGGACAAAGACAATATGTGCACTTACGTCAACATCGGGTCTCTTCAAAATGTCTTCGACCTTGGCTAGATCTCCATTGGCGGCTGCCTTGACCAGCTCCTCGTTGATGTCGCCTGACTCCTGTGTCTCGAACAGTTTCTTCAACAGCTGGGAGAGTCGCTCTGGACAAGCAAAGAGGTGGGGAACATCATAAAGATTCATGGTGTCAAAGTGTTGGCGCAAGGCGACGCTGGAACGAACCTCCAGAGGCATTGCTAACGGCGGAGCCCGAGGGAGCGATCTTGGTGACCGCAGCAGGATTGTAGGTCCACGATGTCCCACACACCTCCACCTTCAGGTCGCTGTCAGAGTAGATCTGCTGCACCCGGCCCACTTTCCCCAGAGTCTGTTGATGTGCAACAAAACTCATTAAAATAGTTGTGTAATGGCTATGAGATATGTACATATATACATACATACATACCGTATTTTCCGCACTACAAGGCGCACCGAAAAGTCTTCCATTTTCTTAGAAGCTCAGAGCATGCCTTAAAATCCGGTGCGCCTTGCGTATGGTCATTACGGTAATACTGTATATCGACCCCCAAGATGGCCCCTTGCTGTAGACATGCTTACAATGTTATAACTTGCTGTTGGTTCACTGAACTGTGTCACTGCTTTATTAAAGTTTTTGTTGCAGCTCCGAAAAAAGGAGAGCTGTGGTGTTGTTTTTTTAAAACACACACTTTATTAATGGTTTTCACAGTCTCAACAAATACAGGTACGCATTTGTTCGTCTCCGTGCCTTCTCTTTTTCCGTTCGACTCGAGAGGCGTTCATGACCGCCTCCGAAAAACAGAAATGAACGAGTCCTTCAATGAAACTACGAAAATTGAAAATAATGCATCAAAACAGAAAATCAAGTGAGGAAATCACAAAATAAATTCTATAGCCCCCCCTACAGAACTTATTTTTCCTCGTTTGTGAATACAGTACACAACAAAGTAATAAATAACAACCACTTCTGAGACAGTCAAGTCTCCTACATTTTATTGACATCTGATTGTTCTGTTGGAGCTATGCTCAAGGAAATGCCAAAATCAATTCTGGAGGGGGGCTATAGACTTTATTTTGTGATTTCCTCGCTTGATTTTCTGTTTTGATGCATTATTTTCAATTTTTGTAGTTTCAATGAAGGAATTATTAATTTATGTTTTTCCGAGGCGGTCATGAATGCCTCTTGAGTCAAAGGAAGAACGCGTAGTTCTATTTAGTGGATGCATTATAGATTGCATCTTATAATACAGTGCATCCAATATATGAAAAAAATTAGGCCATTCATTGAAGGTGCGCCTCATAATCCAGTGCGCCTCTTAGTGCGGAAAATACGATACATATATACATACATGAGAGAAGGACTGGTAAGATCATGTAAAAATAAGGGTGGGAGGCATGAAAATGAAAGAAAGCTTGCGCGCAAAAATAAAACTTGACAAATAACAGAATAAAGTATCACTATAAAAATAAGACGGGGGTTATAAAGAAAGGGACACATGACAACTTTGGAAGGTACTCATTTGTGAATGTCTCAATCCAAGATTAGAGGAGACATTTTGAAGTTTGTCAAGTTTTTTGTGCTAGTCATCAATAACAATGACTGCTCAGGCTCAGAGAGAGACAGGTAGCATCTTGAAGTTGTAGCATGGGGCAAACTGTAAATTTTCTCGAAAACTGCGATTTCCAGTGTGGCCAAACCAAAATGCATGAAAAAGAAAAATATTAAAATGGATTCAGCTGGTAAGGGCATTGCACAATGATGAGCGATTTCAACAACCAAGTCACAAGGTTGCTATAAATCTCTATCCTTTGTGTATTCTGATGAAGAATGTCAGGCAATTTACTAATACACCAGGAAATTGTTTTAAAATGTGTGTGTGTGTGTGTGTGTGTGGGGGGGGGGGTTCTTGAAATGCTGAGCTGGTCTTTGACCTTCAAAAGTTAATTATTCAAAACTGACAACATCCACATTTTCCTTTGTCATTGTTTAAGGAAATAGTGTTTCTTGATTTCTAAGAGGCATCCACACTGGTATGTACAAAAGTACCAATAATCAGGCCTAGGTTCAGCATTTTGCCCCTTTCTGCTCAAAGTGATCGATGGCCCAATTGTATCTCAAAGATTATCTTGCGTGATTATCCTGTGGTGTGCAGTAGGTTAAGATTCTCCCTCCCTAATCCGTTTAAATAACAGTAGGGGGTAATCGTAAACATTTAAACTGTTCAATATTTCTGACTGCAAAACCTCGTGTGTAACTGAGCCAAGCCGCAGACTCCAAGATTGTGACGTTAAACAGAACGATAACTAATTTGGAAGCTTGTGCTGTTGCCGGAAACAAAGAAAATTACTGTAACTGGTTGTGTTGAGTGTTTGTATTATGTCAAGTCAGTAAGGAAAAGATCATCTACTGTATATTAGTCCCACAATGGGAAATTTGCTCTCGGAGGAAAAACAAAGACATGAGTTTGTCACCACAATGCAATTCCCAGAAAAGCTAACAGTAAGCCTCGTTTCTTGTTCATCTACTACACTCTCTTTCTCACCGTCATTATGCATGTGGTGTGTTTTGTTGATTACTTCGAGGAGACCGCACAGTTATTTTTAGAGGGGCTTCTCTTACATTTTAAGACAGGGATGGGCAACTGGCAGCCCTCGGGACCACAAAACTTTTTACACTATTGTTTTTACAACCACCCCAAATTCTTCAAATGACGCTGTTAATTATTCAAGTTAAGTTTCCCACAAAAGAATGAGGTTAATGGCAATAAAAAAATCCAGATAAAAGGGTGAAAAAAGAAACAAAGCAAAATATTTAAAAATCTTGAAAAAATAAAAATTTGAGAATCGAGTGAGTGTGCAGGAGTCAACTGTAGTTTGAAGTTGTAATATCACCACAGACAAAATACATCAAGAAAAAAAAAATGCAAAAAATGTACTGAATGTTGGTTTGCTGCCCACTGGCATTGATGAAAAATTGTGGCCCCCTCCAGCCTTTAAGTTACCCATCCCTGGATTAAGAAGTTAAAAATCAGCACGCATTTCCCCGCATCAGCCAAAAGACTTACAGGCAACATGGCCTCGGCCCACTCCCCGTGACCTTTTTGGAGCTGCTTGATGCGGTCGATGTCGTAGCAAATCTGAACCAGGTCGCCCACTAGGAACTGGGAAGTGCCTCCTTCCGCTCCAGCGGCCACTTCACCGCTGCGCACCACGTTGGCTTTTGTGAGCACAGCGGGGTTGAACGTCCACCTGTGGACAGGAAAATATACTTGATTCACTGACCCATTCCGTTTGATTTCACTTTGAGTAACAGAACCTGAGCACTCACCTGTTCCCGCTGGGATACTGCACCACGATGTCGTGATCTTCGTCGATGCCGCACACTGTACCGGTGGTGGTGAGGGTCTCAAACATGCCATCGGTCCAGCCACCGTGGCCATGCTGCAGCGACTGGACAATCTCCAGGTCTAAATCGATGTTGACCAAGTCCCCGATCTGAAGACCGCCGGGGTTCCTGTTGCCATTTTGCTCACCTAAGAGACACACAAAAGAAAATCCAACCTATTTCTCAAAAAATATATTTTCAATCACTATAATCACATCAGAATACCAATTTATCTACAACTTGGGGTGACATAGCTATAAACCATAAACTACATGCCGCCAAAAACAATACAGTACATGAAATATTTACTACATGAACAGAAATATTACACACATGAATGGCACCATTTAACTTCAAGGTCATATAATTTAGGCCAGCATGGCATTAGAGAGAGAAAAAAAAAAACCCTGGGAAACTGCTGAAACCAGACAGCAAGGTGGTGCTTCCACCTAGTGGTCATATGTGCTTAACTACATCAGAACGTTTCTTTGCCCTTGGATTTGCTGCAGCACAGCAACAGGTGAGAAATGGCCTAATCATGTCACAAAACAAGGCCAGCTGGCTTACTTACCCAACACAGGACAGTGGTCTCTGTAAAAGGAACCTCCTTTGGCATCCTGAACACATTTCAGGTCCGACTGAGAGAGAAAAGAAGCAAAGGCTCCATAAGTCACTGGCCCGTGGGGGAGGCACAAGCATGAATAATAAAAACACAGAATACAGCCACTTAAGGTGCTGCTGCTGCAAGAGTGCGCTTGCAGAGAGCAACAATTTCAGCAAAATGGCGAGGAGATGAGAGATAGAGCAAAGCAATACGCTGTGGGACAATGTGGATGTGGGCCAGAGATCAAGGGAAGACACATTCCTACCATGAGAACATCCCTATCTATCAAGCCAATGGGACTAGAGGTAAGATCGGGACGCGCGAACCCGACCCGACCCGAACTAAAATGTCAATCGTTTGTTCGGGTTCGGGTCGGGCTTCTCTCTCGCTGACTTTTTTTTTTTTTAAATAAATATTGTGGCGGACACTAGGACCATGCTTCTCACCCGGCCAGCAGGCATACAGTAGGGGGCGTGTTTATGTGAATGTCGACCAAAAATACTCACAAATAAAATATGAAATGTCGGGTTTGCTTCGGGCTCGGGCCTGCAAATCAAGCTAAGTGATCGGGCTCGGGCCGGGTCGGGCTTTAATACTCTCGGGCCCGGTCGGGTCGGGCTCGATTTTTTAGGACAGATCTTATCTCTAAATGGGACACATTTTTATCTTATGATTGTGTTAAGAGAGCCTTTATTTTAGATATATTGAAACAAAATATGCCTCGAAAGTTGCAAATGTTTCAAGTTTAGAACATCAGTTCAGCAAGAAAGGACTGTGTTTTACTTTTTCTTCGGCTTTTGTGTGCCTCCCTTGCGATTCCAAAAGAGGTAAGTGAAGTTAGGAATACTGTTCGAAATTGCTTGAAAAAGCGGCATTCAAAAGCTATACAGTAAAGCTCCAGCAGTATCCAATTGCTTTTGTTACCATAGCATTTTTTTGAACACCCGTTAACTTGTTTTTACACCTATCTTTAAGAAAAGCAAGGCACAAACTGCGACATGAAGCACCGTCATGACTGTTAAAATTTAGTATTTTATATCTTCCTGTCAATACAGACAACACTTAACTTTTTTGAAATGGTTTTGACCCCACTTACAGGCAAGGAGTTAATTTGTGAACATTGGAACTTTTGAATCTGAATGAATGGCCATGACGTGGAGTCCACGGGTCGGTCCTTAGTCCCCTTTTGTTCAGCCTGCATATGCTACCCTTGGGTTAAAATCTTTAGAAGGCAAATGCCTGTTATCAGGGCTATGCAGATGATATGCAGCTATATCTACCAATGTCCCCAAATCAGATCAATTCGATTAAGGTGTTGTGTCACAAAATGTTGTTCAACTAAACCAAAACAAAACCAGGTGACTATTGTTGACAACAGAGAAAAGAGGATTGCTGTTAGTAAACACTTGCAGTCGCTGTCTTTAAAAGCCAAAAAACAAGTGCGAACCCTTGGGGTGCTGATTGATTCAGATCTGACTTTCAGCCATAATATCACACAAATACTAAAACTGGCTTTTACTAGCTGAAAAAACATATCCTTGATGGGGGTTGCTTGGTCCAAGCAGAGCAAGGGAAACATTCGTTTTTTGTCTTCAGTAGACTTTATTATTGTGATGGTCTTTGGACTTGAGTCCCTTAAAAGATTCTCAAACAGTTGCAACTCATTCAGAACACTGAGCATAGTTTACACTGTGCTAAAAACTGCGCTGGAGAACACATTTTAAAATTCTGCTGATGGTATTTATGGGTTGGGTCCTGCTTACATTAAAGAAATGTGAAAAGCATTTCAACCCAATTGGCCTCTGAGGTTTGCAGACTCAGTTCAATGAGTGGAACCCAGAGTTCAAAGCAAACATGGTGGAGCAACATTTAGCAGTTATGCTGCACACAAAGGAAAAAAGCTGTCAATGGAAGTGAAATTAGGCCTAAGTGAAAATACTTTTATAATTATGTTCAACTTTCCATCCTTACGTCCCATTAAGATTGCTGTATTATTTCATTTTCATTTTCAGTTAACTCAGTTCTACACAGTTAAGAAGTTTAAGGTGAACTAACGATGGAGATAGTTTCGCCCTGGAAAGAATTAGCCCGTACTTGTAACTGGAGTAGATTGTGTTCAACTTTAGAGGTTCGACTACATTAGAATAAGAAAAGGACAAATCCGTTATGCAACTGCAAAACCTGATTGGCTTCTTTCACGAAACAAAGCCAAATTTAACCAATGTGCAGAAGCGTGCTTTTTATCAGAGACGCGTGTGTCGATGCATCCACATTCCACTTCTTTAAGTTGACCTCCATGTTCACGATCACCCCTTCTTAAAAAGCAGATTGCCTTTATCATGCAGATGGGTCCACCTCCAGCTGCTTGTGCAAACAAAGGGGGAGGGCAGAGCCCACTGTGGCTCTCACAAAGCCCTTGGAGGGACAATAAGAGCCTCCACCCTATGGTCAAACACAAAAGCCACCTGACAGCTGATGTATTGAAGGACACCGCTCGTGTGCGTGTGTGTGTGCGCGCGTGCGCGCACGCACGCGCACTCACCATTCCCTCAAAACCGACACGGTACAGGTTCTTGGCCCCATTGTCCCATAGCACGTAGGCAGCACTATGAGGGCTGGCGGCGCTCCAGTCTTGAATCTCGGTCACCTGTTGAGGAAAAGGGGAAGTGTAACTATTGAATGTACTCATTACTGTACTGTTGTAATGTTCACCGCAATAGACTTCAGTTCAGTAAACATCAGAGGATTAATTATGTGTGAGTATGTGGTGCTTAAAGAAGAAGAATGTGATTGAATTACTAAAAAAAAAAAAAAAAAAAACCCCTCGAAAAACTAACTTTACCCTTTTGCTATGATGTGGGTCTAACTTATTAATAATAATGTTTAAAAACATTTTTCACATTGGGCTGAAATCCCTTATGCCACAATTTTTAATTTTGTCACAAATCTATAATATTGGTCAGTCAACATCGAAATGCTATTTTGACAAATTATTGACCAAACTAAAATGTTGAAAATGGCTTGCTCTCTTTGAAGAGGTACTATATTGTTAATGGTTGAACAAACATGCCTTTATTTTCCTGAAAAGAGATGTTCTTGGAGGTACACGGAGTCGCCCTGACAAACAGCAAAATGCAAAAAGGAATACAATAAAAAGTTTGCCCATACTTTTGTACTTTTCTTATTAATGATTGTGAGTGTGAATGGTTGTGCGTCTATGTGTAACTTGCGACTGCTTGACAACCACTTGCTAAAGGCAACTGGGAAAGGTTGCAACATGCCTGTGACTCTCTGATAATGGACAGATGCATAAATTTTCTTCACAACTTAAAATGTATGAAGATTTTTTGGGGAGAAAAAATAAACATAACAGGGGGACGATATGCTTGTGGCTTGTCATTCATAGAGTATTACAAACCCAATTCCAATGAAGTTGGGACGTTGTGTTAAACATTAAAAAAAAACAAAAAAAAAACAGAATACAGTGCTACCTCTACTTACGAAGTTAATTGGTTCTGGAAGAAATTTCTGAACTAGAAAAATTTTGTCAGTAGAGATGCGTTCTCCATGTAAATGCCCGAATCCGTTCCAAGCCCCACTCCCCAAAATTCAGACATAAATGTTTCCAAAAGCATAAAAATGCATCATTCAAAATATGTAACAAATACATGTTACAATTAGATTATTGCACAATAAATGAGAGTTGTTCATAATGTAAAAATCAAAAAATAGAGTGAAGAATCAAAATAACGGTCATTTAACTTTTAACTGAATCCTCATCGTTTTTTCCCTTTTTAGTTTATGTTCTCTCTCAGAAGTGGTTTTTGCCTGGCATTTGTAAAGAACTGATCCAAGGACGTGCTTTTGTCGGCTTTTAACAATCCTTCGAAAATGTCCAAGGCAAACATCAGCATCAGCATAGTGTGCGATCGCCGGATTGGTGAACACTTTCTCTGGGTGATTTACTTTTACGTAAAACTATCGGAACACCTCATGGCACGAGGGGCAAATGACGAGGACGCTGTATAGACACATATCTATCTATTTATCTATCTATTTACACACATAGACAGACGCAGTAGGGGTCCCTCTTAGTCAATGGGATGCCAAGGTGATGCTCGGTAATAGCCAGTTGGCAGAGCAGCTGTAAGTATGTTGCGTTCAGGAAACTGAGCTGAGAGTAGCAGCCCATACTGTATTTTTACCTTTCTTATCTTGAAATTTCTTTCGTAACAAGAGGCAATATTTTTCTGTTGAGGCGTTTCGTAACTTGAAAATTTCATATGAAGAGACGTTCGTAAGTTAAGGTACCACTACAAAGATTTGCAAATCATGTTCAACCTCAATTTAAATGAATATACAACAAAGACAAGTTATTTGATGTTTAAACTGATAAACTTGACTGTTTTTAGAAAAAGAAAACAACAACAACAATTTTTTAAATGGCTGCAACACCTTCCCAAAAGCTGAGACAGGGTCATGTTTACCACTGTGTTACATCAGGCTTTTCTTTTAACAATATTCAATAAACGTTTGGGAATTGAGGCCACTAATCGTTGAAGCTTTGGAGGTGGAATTCTTCCCCATTCCCATAATGTGGTTTGGCATTGTCTTGTCGAATTAAACAGGGCCGTCCATGTAAAAGACGTTGCTTGGATGGCAGCAAAACTTGTATGTACCTTTAAGCATGAATTGTGCTTTCACAGATGTCTAGGTTTGCCACATCATTAGCACTAACACAGTCCCATACCATCACAGATGCTGGCTTTTGAACTTTGCTTCCATAATAGTCTGGATGGATCTTTTCCTATTTGGCCCGGAGGACAAAACACCCACAATTTCCAAACACACACACATCTCTCTCTCTCTACTAAATTAGGATAAACTTCTGCTGGTGTTTGGTCGTTTTATCATTTATATTGTATTTATTTCTGAGACGATTATTTTAAATACCTTTATCATTTTTTGGCCAATGAAGATTTTGGGGTGTAGCAAAAAAAACAAACAAGTAGGTTAAAACATTGCCTCCAGAGCTCGAACAAGTTTGAAAAGCTGACAGGTGTTATTCCAAACCTTACTGATGTCAATGGTAAATTTTGGCGATTGAGAGCTGACCAAATCCGAGGTCATGGATGGATGCAGATGGATTGTGGGACTTGACTTACAATAAGGTAGAGAAAGTGTCATGAGATGAAGGCCACCAGAGTAAATTCATTCATTCATTAAAACATGTATCCGAAGTAAATTCAGTAACCTGTTTATTTTCAGTCCCTCACAGAGGAAATTGATTAATGGGTCTAGTTAATATTTAGGCCACACTAGAAGTACATCTAAGTATGAGGAGATGCCATAATGGTTTTCGGAGGGAGCGCGATTACCGCTGCCGGCATCATGAAATAGTGATGAGATATACCATTAAATAAGGCAGAAAAATGAAGTATTAAATTGCCGAGAGGGCCTCTATGCTTGGGACTGGAGCCGAGTCAATGTCAGTATGTAGTACAGATACTGGACAACAAGTGCAACCCCATCTGTCATCGGAATGACTCCAGAATGACGTTTATGCGTAGCATTAGTCAGGATTATCATCAATCAGTAAGATGAAAGGCATCATTATTTAAGACCAATGCATAATATAAAAAGGATGGCTTCCTCAACGGGCGGCCTGGTCCAGTGGTTAGCGCGTTGGCCTCACAGTTCAGAGGTCATAGGTTCGATCCCGGCTCCGGCCTTTCTGTGTGGAGTTTGCATGTTCTCCCCATGGTTTTCTCCGGGTACTCCGGTTTCCTCCCACATTCGAAAAAAAAAACATGCATGGCAGGCTGATAGAACACTAAATTGTAAATCTAGGTGTGAGTGTGAGTGTGGATGGTTGTTCGTCTCTGTGTGCTCTGTGATTGGCTGGCAACCGGTTCAAGGTGGCTGGGATCGGCTCCAGCACCCGCTGCGACCCTTGTGAGGATAAAGTGGATCGGAAAATGGATGGATGGATGGTTGGCTTCCTCAACACGTTTTCATAGTCTTCCGCATATGAAAACTACGCACAAAGTGGTACTTTCGGCATATGCACACTTTAAAAAGATGGTTATGTGTTTCACTGTGTAGACAAGGACATTGACGTAGAGTCATGTGTGTTTTGGAGGCCTGTTATTGGCCATTACCTTTCCTCGCCTTCCATTGCCTCCATCCTGGTCTTCCCACTGCCAGTCCACTCCTCGCACTACCCGGCCACCCGTAAAAATGCCTCTGGCTGTGATTTTCTTTGATTTGCGCCTCGACTCCAGAAGCACTCTGCCCACACCAAGAAAGACAGCCCATTCAGTTCGGGTCTCTGATCAAGTTTTCCCAGAATAGGACCAATTTTAAAATGCATGGCATACTATGCTGATATGTGGCTCATGTCAGTGTGTCAAACTTTACTTGGACTTCATGTGAAAAATCTTCAGGCAACAGTCATAAAGGGGAGACTTGAGTATGATGATACACTTTTCACTCGGGATGTCCTAATCACATTGTTTTGCACCTGAGTCCAAGCTGAGTCAATCGATTCTGAGTATCGGTTGATACCAAGTCCAAGCCGATAGCTGAGCAAGGCATTCAGCAGATGCATAGTTGGCTAATTCTTCTACAAACAACACTACTGGTTAATTGCCTCATCAAATGCAACCAGTGGTACACAAGTTTGGCGCCAAATAATTCACACTCGTTAAGACTTCTCTTTCAAGGTAAGTCGTTTAAAAGCATCACATTTGCAAGCTTGTCAACTCTGACAATAATGCTCAGCAACACGTTTAGCCAGAACGTTGACTCCTGTGGTCCATTCGGCTTTGCAGACTTGATTGTTGTATCTTTGTGCTTGCGCTGACTGTCGACCGTGTTGGCAAAATGTTTCCACAACTCACTTGCCTCTTTTTCCTTAACACGTGCAGACAAACTTGTGGCCATTTCAAAAAGTAAATAAATACAACTGCTAACATCCTATGGCAGCTGGACAGTGGTGGTACAACACCGTGAACGACTCCCTGCTCAGAATGGACTGAAAGAATATAATACAGCCCCCCACCCCACTATCATGTTGGCAGACGAGTGTGATCTCCGGGGGGTGACTGCCTCAGCCATTGTGCACTGTGTGCACCGTCTGTCTCAGGGGGCGGGGATGGGAGATGAAGTCGTACCCGGTTGAAAAGACAGCCGTCTGTTGGGCCATGTGTTCGTCTGTGTTGGGATGCAGGATTGATATAAAAGAAGCATTGGTGTGTTTAGAACAGAATTTGAGGCAACTAAAAAAAAAAAAAAAAAAAAACTAAGTACCACTCGCCAGTTGGGCGGTAGGCCTTTAAAAAAAACAAAGAAAGAAAAATACTATTTACAGTATATCCTATTTCCACAAATAAACATGCAACATGTCAGCATGTTTTGTGAGACTTCGGCTCAGTTTCAGCATTATTTGTGTTTTATGTGATTTCACCTCAGATAAGTGCCAATGATAATGGCAAAGAGCAAAATGTCATAATAATCAGTAGCCCCGTTCACACGGCAACGTTTGGTCCGACGCAGCTCCGAAACAAATCCAGTCGAGCATTCACACGTGCACATTTGCTCCGGCGTAGCTCCACTAAAGAGCTTATACGCTACCAGATGCCCGGAATCCGATCCCGGTCGACAGTGACGACGGGGCCAGCGACACAGACGAAGCCTGGCTGCACCCCCGTTCCCGGTAAGTGTCGGCGATTTAAGCGGTGAAGACAGCGCTCACGATCAAGAAGAGGATCGAGAAAGCAGTGACGTCAGCCGAGCCCCATTTGCAGGCCCGAGCCGGAAGCAAACCCGACATTTCATATTTTATTTGTGAGTATTTTTGGGAGGAAAAAAACACAAGATTTCTTACGGTTAAAATAATCTAGGTATTTTTATGAACATTATCAATGCATTTGCACAACGAAATAACGCTGACATACAGAATAAGAGGCCAGACAAAGAGAAATCTCGATGTGCATTTGCTTAATTACGCAGAGAAATCCTGCGGCTTACTAGGCTTTAAATAGAATAATTCAAATCAAATAAATAGGTAAAGATATCTGAAATTATTTCTATAGGATTGTTTAAACGAAATTAACATACGTGCGCACTGGTCGGGCCGGCCGAGCTCCTGTTTAGCAGTTAAATCGCAATTAAATTACAGCGCATTCTCTGTTTTATCCAAATTGTTTGTTTTAAAACAAGTATTCCTTAGTTTAGTATCCGCACATTGTTTTAGTATACATTTTTTAAAACATATATTGTGGCAGTCATAAGGAGCACACACGATTGACTGTAAACACGTCTTTATTCCACGACTGCCGACAAGTGGATCTATTCTGAACAAGGACAGAATAGTGTCCGCCATAATATTTCTTAAAAGAAAAATAAATAAAAGTCCGCGAGAGAGAAGCCCGACCCGAACCTGTTTTACTTCCGCATTCCTGTCGTTTTGGTCCGCAGCAGAAACTGCACGTGTGACCGCAAGTGGAACTGCTCCGACGCATCGCCGGAGCTGTCACGCTCAGCGGCTTTGCACGTGTGACCGCTCCACAAAATTTGCTCCGGTGTAAAATATATCACAAAAAAATATTTCGGTGCAGCGTCGGACCAAATGTGTGCCGTGTGAACAGGGCTAGTGAAACAACATGATGCAGACATTGAGTTATTTCAGAGGGTAAACACTGCTCTGAAATCAGAACGACTTGGAAGTCGACCAGCGTCGCTGTTTCCACTACGGCGGGTGAAGCATATATGTGAATCCCCGCCTTTATATAACATGCAAAAAGATTTAAGCAAGGTGAGTTTGTTGCCTGGCAACTGGGGGCTGGGAGCACTCAGATAGATTATGTCTGCCTGTGAGCAAGGGCGCACTTAAAAGATTCTCAAATCTCACAAACACAGAGACCCAAATAAAAGAGTGAAACACGTTGTATTGTAACCCAAACCTAATGTCTGCTTTTTTTTTTGTTTGTTTGTTTGTTTGTTTGTTTTATTTAAGCAGTCATCTTAACTAACCTCTCACTGCCCGGGGTGGTGATCCTGTAGAAGCGGTGTCTCAAGTGATGTTTGTCACCATGGTAACAGGTTGTGCAGAGGTCGTAATTGGTGCACTCAGCACATTTCCAGCGAATGCCAATGATGGGCTGCTGACGGCAGGTGTCACACATCGTTCCGTCATGCTTGATGCCTGCGGGACAAGGAGGAGTGTTGATGAGTTAAGTGGGTGCGAGTCGCTGCGCGTGAATACCACGGCGAATAGTTTGCGCACACACAAAAAAAGATGACAAATGTCATAAAAATCTCGGGAGGAGCCAACTGTCGATCTCAGTGCAGCCCGAATTAGAAGATGAAAGGATTTGGCTTTTGGTTTGATCACAACTGTAGTGCTCTAATACTTATGCTTTCATTTATTGATTTATTTTTACAGCTGCTATCGCATATTAGTGTTGTCGGAGCCAGTTTTACCAGCTTCATGTGTACAAAAGATTTTGACTTGGATCTTAGGCCAAACAAAAAAAGATAGTGTGTTTCCGGTAACATGAAATTTCAGCATAGGGTCGGTAGGTCAGACAAAGTTTTTTTTTTTTTTTAATCTTTTTTTTTTCCATCAAAAATGTAAACAAAATAACGATAAAACATAAAACAAGAAGACGTTGAACCCGCCGCTCCGCGGCCGGTGCCGCCACCACCTATTTAGTTTTCTCCCCACTCCAGATCCGGGGGGCCGGGGCGCGCCGTCCTTCTTAACATTACGGTGCGAGCATGCGACTGTAACACAGAAAACGCGGTTTAAACTGTCGTCGGGAGATCGTGGCCGCCGCCATGTTTCAATGTTGTTGACAGACGACAGGGCAAACGACGCACGCGCTCAACGTGAATATCGCGAGAGTTTGCACCAATGTAAACCCTCTACACAAAAATGTAGAGGGTTGTTTGAAAAAAATGCCGACCGTAAAGTTTTTTTTCGACGTAGAAATTCTCAGTCGGTCAGGTTACCGGAAACACACTACTTTTTTTTCTACGCCTTAGGTGACTGGTGTCATGCCTTTGGTTGATGTTTGATAAATACCGAGTGATGATTTAAGCCTCTCTTAACAGTTAACACGTTTAATCATGATGGCAACAGTTTGGACTAATAAATCCAAATTAAATGAACCTCAAGGGGAAATGTTGAAAGATGAGAACATTTGGGCTGGTTTGGACTTTCTTTTTGGACATTCTGTAATGGATGTCATGCGTTTAGGTCCATCTTTTTGTGGTTTTGGACAAGGAGGCGCAGCTGCTGACGAGAAAGACTGCTGCATTAGCCTGTGGAGCAAGTCACCAACCGGCTCACTGGTGCATTCAAAGGCTAGAGTTGTATGTGCATGGTGCGACTGAATGACATTTTACTATATTTGTTCATCAGAGATGCAAGTAAATTTTTCTAGATTCATCTGTCCTTATTTTTTCTGTTCCACATCAGGTATTCTTAAGAGCAATAACACAGGATAATAACAACAAGACAAAATGTTATATACAGTCGAACCTCATTACAACATACCTCGAGGGACATAACGAATCTCTACGATATAACGGTAGTTCATTTTAACCATTTCCAGTAAAATGGCTGCCACTTACAATGTATAACATACAATATGAATATTTATAGATGTAAAAAAATGAACATGTAATACAGTATAAACATGTCAATTACAAATACGTGTACACAATATGAAGAAAAAAATGATTTTAGAAGACATGAAACAAACAATTGTAGCGTTCCTACTTCATCTCTGAAAACATTCACTCAGCATATGTTACTCGCCATAGGAAACTGCGCGTGCCGCCGACAAAGCCAACTGTCATCAGTTTATGATGTGTCGCACCCTAAAGCCGTTTACGATCATTTTTCAATCCGTTGGCCTCGAACTCTGCCATTTTGTTGCCACTATGGTCGATTGTCGAAATCGTTGACTCGGCTAAGCTTCGTAGTCTCGACTAAGCTTAATCTGGAAAACTCCCTTTCGAAAGTGAGAGACGATTTCAGTCTTCACAGACGAGATGATTTGGTTCCGTTTACCACATATGTTTTCAGACCATGTGCTCAAGACCGCGCCATGCCTCCGGAGGTACAACAATGTACGAGTCGATCTGTAGCGTTGCTAAGCAACAGAGGGGAATCCCGCGCTGCACATTTTGTTCATAACCAAGGTCGCGACAGCAGTTAGCTTTGCACGGTTTGTTGTCACGAAGAACTTTTTACTATTTTGTGGGAAAAATTTGGTCGTTATAAATGAAGTTTACATTGTAAAAGGTGTTCGTTGTAAGCAAAATTGGCAAATTGAAAATGATTTACGTGAAATCGGGACTTTGAAATGTGAACGTTGCAGGTGTGAAAACGTAAACAGGGTACCGTATTTTCACAACTATAAGGCGCCATTAAAAGTCTTAAATTTTCTCCAAAATGGACAGGACGCCTTATAATGCGGTGCGTGTTATGTATGCTCCGAGTTCCAAAGCATTGTAAAAGGTGTTCGTTGTAAGCAAAATTGGCAAATTGAAAATGATTTACGTGAAATCGGGACTTTGAAATGTGAACGTTGCAGGTGTGAAAACGTAAACAGGGTACCGTATTTTCACAACTATAAGGCGCCATTAAAAGTCTTAAATTTTCTCCAAAATGGACAGGACGCCTTATAATGCGGTGCGTGTT